TGTCTCCTGTAGATCTTGTTGAAGCAGCGTTCTTTCTGTGTTCCTATGAGCTCTCCATCAAATCTCTTTATTCTCCGTGGTGCTTCCTGTTCGACGAGAACGACGCCAAGGTGCAGACGTATGACTCATCACACTCGCTCGCTCACGCTCCCACTTACGACAGACTCATAGATGCATCCTCGGATGATGATGTCACACGGTACCTGTCGTCCTCTTCTCAGGTGCTGGAGTACAAGTCAGACCTGAAGCAGTACTGGAAGCGCTCTCATGGTCACGCGATCAGCGGTCTGTCCAGCTGTCCTCTCTTCCATCACATCTTCAGGACGCTCGACAAAGCTGGACGTCCCCGCAGGTCGAGATTCAAGAACAATGCCGTTAATTTTCTCCTTCTAATTTGTTGACAATGGACGAAGCTGTCGCATCGCCGACCATCATCATCTTCATCTTCATCATCATCACATGATCTCTGAACTCTGACTGTTGTGTCCATCAGGTCCACTGAGGCGTCGCCCGAGCCGGCTTCCATCCTGCTGGGTCATGCTGAGACGCTCCTCCCCCTCCTCTCCCTGCTGGGTCTCTACAAAGACCAGACTCCGCCCACCGCCAACAACTACCACTCCCAGCACGGTACAAAGCCCCACCTCTGCCCTGTCGGTCAATCAGACATGAGGACGTAACGTGAGATCACGTCCCTGGGTTTCTTACAACATGGTTGCTACAGATGTTCTTAGTGGCCACTCCCAGTACTGCAGCGCCTGCGCTCATCATGTGACACCCGACCCCAAGAAATCAAAACGTTTATTTAAGTAAATTTATGATTATTAATTATTGATTTAGTTTCGTCTTTATTTTTGGTCTCGTCAAACTAAAGCAAGGTTTCAGTCACATTACATTTTATTATTATTATAATTGTAAGATTTTGTTACTATATTTGAAAACAGACGCTTTGTCGTGTTTTTACAGGAAGAAGTTTCCGAACCAGCCAGATCGTCCCGTACGCTGCCAACCTGCTCTTCGTCCTGTACGACTGCCCGCGAGGCCCCCGGCTGCAGCTGCTCATTAACGAGTCTCCGGTTAGATTCCCGGGGCTAGAGGCGGAGGTCGCCCCGCTGTACCGGGACGTCCGGGCCACGTACCGCCACCTGCTGGACGGCTGCGACTTCCACAGGGAGTGTGAGGGGAGGAGCGGAGGTCGAGCACCGAACACTGAGCTCTGAGAGGTGAGACACCAAGTGACTCCCTTAACCCCACCCCCATGCCAGCTGTCCAATCACAGCCCAGCTGCAGCACCTGGCGGCAGCAGGTGGAGCTGTGATGTCAGAGCACCATCACAAACGTTGAATGTTAATCCTGATCATGTGACCGAGCATCGTCCTGTAGTGAGGAGACGCGTTCGGTCCGTGTGAAATACTCGAGACCAGTCATCCAGACGAGGCTGCACGCTGCAGTTGATGTCGAGAAAGTTGACGACTGACCAATGTTCGTCCAGTTTACGATTTATTACGTGTGACAAGTAACACGAGGATTTAATGTCTTCTTCTTCTGCAGCGATTTAACAGCAGCACGCCCTCTGCTGGTCATCACCTCAGGAGACAAGACGCCTCAGTGAACTGACCTTTAACCTTTCCACCTCAACAAGGAAACAGTTTTACTTTGGAACTTTACGTTGTTTATTTATTCAGATGTTTATGATCATGTGACGGGTTTGTTTGATTTTCTACTGATTCTGATTTGTTGATGATTTTACTTATGGGATGTCTGTCTGAGAGAAGATTTTCACAATAAAAGCTCTGGTTTGTCTATGGTGATGGAAACAAATTAGTTTTGTCTTCAGGGTGAACATTTTTTAATTTTTTTTTAAATGGTTTAAAGTGACGATGCAGCTTTTTATAAATTGTCATTTTTCAGATTATTTAAAATGTGTTTATGTTTTAATTTTTCTGTGATGCCAAATCTTTCTAAATAA